GAGCCCCGCATCGGGCCCTGTGCTGACAGCTCGGAGCCTGGAGCCTGCTTCCGATTCTGTGTCTCCTTCTCTCTCTGCCCCTTCCCCACTTGTGCTTGGTCTCTCTCTCAAAAATAAATGTAAAAAAAAATTTTTTTTTAAAGGAAGTGATCTACAGATTCAACACAATCTCTATCAGAATCCTAGCTGCTTTCTTTGCAGAAATTAACTGATTCTAAAACCACTGTGGAATTATAAGGGACCCAGAACATATAAAACTATCTTGAAAAAGAACAAGTTAGAAAATTCACACTTCTCCAATTCCGAACTTATTACGAAGCAACAAGAATCTAGACACCGTGGTACTGGAGCTAAGGACAGACAGATCAATACAACAGAACTGAGAGTCCGGAAATAAAAACAACATGTCTATAGTCAAATGACGTGTTTTTTTTTTTAAGTTTATTCATTTATTTTGAGAGAGCACAAGCGAGAGCAAAAGTGAGGGAGGGCAGAGAGAATTAGAATCCCAAGCAGGCTCCACACTGTCAGCACAGAGCCAATGCGGAGCTTGAACTCACAAATAGTGAGATCATGAACTGAGCCAAAATCGAGTTGGATGCTGTAGCCAACTGAACCACCAAGGTGCTCCACAGTCAAATGATTTTTGACAAGGGTGTCAAAATCATTCAGTGGGGAAAGAGCAGTCATTTGAATAAATGATATTACAGCCACATGCAAAAGAATAAGGTTGGGTCCCTACCCTCATACCATATACAAAAACTAACTCAGAATGAACCAAAGACCTAAATGTAAGAGTTAAAGACCTTGGATTTGGCAACAGATTCTTAGATATGGCACTAAAACTAAGAACAACCAAAGAAAAAATAGATAAATTGGACTTTCAAACTTAAAATTTGGGCTTCAAAGGATATTATCAAGAAAGTAAAAAGACAACACAAAAGCTGGGTGAAAGTATCTGCAGATCATAGATCTGATAAGGGATTTATATCTAGAAAATATAAAGATCTCTTACAATTTAATAATAAAAAGACAACCCAATTTGAAAATGGACAAAAGATTGGAATATTCCTGCAAAGAAACACAAATGACCAAGAGGCACATATGGAGATGCCTGATATCATTAGTCATCAAGGAAACGCATATCAAAACCACAGTGACATACTAATTCACAACCACGAGAATCAAGGAGTCATTTAATAACAAGTGTTGTTGATGCAGAAAAATTAGAATTCTCGTATACTACAGGTACATCGGTAAGTAAAATTGTGCAGCCACTTTGGAAAATGTCTAGCAGTTCCCCCAAACAGTTGAGGATAGCGAACATATGACCCAGCAATTCAATTCTGGTATATACCTAAGAGAAACAACAACATCCACACAAGAATTTATATACCAATGCTTATAGCAGTCTTCATAGTAGCCAAAAGGTGGAAACAAATCAAACATCCATCAACTAATGAATGGATAAACAAAATGTGGTATATCCAAACAATGGAGTATCATTCAGCCATAAAAGAAATGAAAACTGATAACTACCACAACATGGATGAACCTTGACAACATTATGCTGAGTGAAAGAAACCAGACATAAAAGACCATGCATTCATTATAGGATTTCATTTATATATGTCAGAAAAGGCAAGTCTGGATGGACAGGGTGATGACAGCTAAAGAGTATAGGGTTTCTTTCTGAGATGAGTATGTTCTAAAATTATGATGAGGGGCGCCTGGGTGGCAGAGTCGGTTAAGCGTCCGACTTCAGCCAGGTCACGATCTCGCGATCCGTGAGTTCGAGCCCCGCGTCAGGCTCTGGGCTGATGGCTCAGAGCCTGGAGCCTGTTTCTGATTCTGTGTCTCCCTCTCTCTCTGCCCCTCCCCCATTCATGCTCTGTCTCTCTCTGTCCCAAAAATAAATAAACGTTAAAAAAAAAAAAATTTTTTTAAAAATTATGATGAAAGTTACACATATAAGGGGGAGGGGGTGCCAGGGTGGTTCAGTTGGTTAAGTGTCCGACTCTTGGTTTCAGCTCAGGTCATGATCTCAGTTTGTGAGTTTCAGCCCCACGTCGGGCTCTGTGCTGACAATGCAGAGACTGTTTGGGATTCTCTCTCTCCTCCTCTCTCTGACCCTCCCCTACTCGCACTCTCTCTCTCTCAAGATAAACTTTCAAGTTTATTAAAAAAACACTCAGGACGCCTGGGTGGCTCAGTCGGTTAAACATCCGACTCAGCTCAGGTCATGATCTCGTGGTTCAGGAGTTCGAGCCCCATGTCCGGCTCTGTGCTGACAGCTCAAAGCCTGGTGCCTGCTTCAGATTCTGTGTCCCCTCTCTCTCTGCCCCTACCCCTCCCCTGCTGGCAATCTGTATCTTTCTCAAAAATAAAAGAAAACATTAATAAAAAAATTTAAGTAACACATTAAAAAAACAACTATGAGTTATTCACTTAATAGACAAGTTGTATGGTATGTGAACTATTTAATAAAGCTGTTTACAAAAATGTTCAAGTGTGCCTGGGTGGCTCAGTCGGCTTAGCATCTGACTTTGGCTCAGGTCATGATTTCATGGTTCGTGAGTTCAAGCCCCACAATGGGCTCACTGCTGTCGGTGCAGAGCCTGCTTCAGTTCCTCTGTTTCCCGCCCCCCTCTACCCCACCCCTGCTCACAAGCATGGGTGCTCTCTCTCTCTCTCTCAAAATACTGAACATTAAAAAAAATGTTCAGGTTTGACAGAGTTATCAAAGTCCCAAATTTTTACATTCTTAAACCTTAACAAGGGAAAGATTAATACCTGAGTTGGCAACTGTGCTGAGGGCTTCAAAGACCCTGCCATTCAATTGTTGTAACAATCTTAACAAGCATGTTAAGGGAACTGAGGCATGAATAAGTAACTTGCCCAAAAGAATACAGCTAAGTCAGAGGTAAGGTCTGACACCAGGCCAGCGATTCCCAAATTATAGGTTATTTCCACTATGGCCATTTGTGATTTTGGTCCTTTACTAAATCCAGAAAAGATGCCAGTGTCACATTAATCTCAAACCATCCCTCACTGCAGAATGCCAGGCTGAACACGCCTGCCAGAATACTGCCTAAGTGGGGTCTGGGTTACTGCATACAGAAATAACCGAACAACTGTGACAAAGAGAGACTACCCTGGCAATTTCCTTCCTTCTACTACCTTCTAAAGGGTTTCCCTTCTGCTCCCAACACAAGGCTTTCTTTACCTTTCATTTCTCTCTCCTGGATCTCCCGCTCCTTCTTAGCCTGGATGGCGAGCAGCCGCCTGCTCTTCACCGCGCTAATCATGTCTTCAGCTCCCACATCTACCTGGGGTTCAAACTTCACCACCTCTTTTTTCCTATCAGTTTTGCCCAGCCCATTCTCCTCTTTTCCATTTTCCTTGTTTCTGGCTTCCATTTCTTTCCTTTTCTGTTTCTCTGCTCTCTTCTTATCATTCTCTTCCTTCAGTACAGCAAGCCGCTCTTTCCACAACTCTGCAGACATCTGCTGTCTGGTTTCCATGTGGTCTTGCACCGAGTACGTCATGAGGATGCGGTGGCAGAGGGCCGTCAAGATCTGGAGCTTCTCTTCTGACGTCAGTTCAAAAAACTCCGAGGTCTCCAGCTTCTCTAGGAACTCATCTTGTACTTCATTATCCTCAAATGGTGCTGAATCTTTATTGTCGTCCGTGTCTGAGCCCTCGCTTTCTTCCTGAACGTCAGATTTGCGCAAGCAGAGCCGCACCAGCTCCGAGACAGAATGTAGGGTCAGAGGGATTTCTGACAGCTTCATTCCCAATTCGCCATAGTCTTCTGCTATTTCATCTTGCAATAAGGTCTGTAAGAGGATGACCAACACTCTATTCAGATATAAAAAGCCACCTTTTTCTGCACTCAAGGCTTCCATGAGGGACACAGCAGTAATAGGATACTGAGCATCTGGTAAGAGTAGCCCAGAGTAACAGCTCAAGAACTCCACCACCATGGCCACGTCCCCAAACAGTGTGTTGGGCAGCCCTTCGGGGGTATCCACCAACCTAAACGCCGGAAGGCTTTTGCCAGTTAACTCTTGGTCCTCGTACCTCTTCTGCTTTTCCAGTTTCTCAAGCATTTCTTTCTCTCTCCTCTCCTTGGCTTTCTCCTTCAACTTTTCTTTCAGCTCCTCTCGTTTCTTTTTCAAATATTCTTTGCGCTGCTCTTCAGACATAGAGGCCCACCGCTTTTTATGTTCTAGAAGCTCAAAGCGTTTTTGAACAATACTTCGCAGCTCTTCTGGGAGACGAGCTCTATCTTCGCTGGAGAGCAGACGAGCTGTTTTGGAGATAACACAGGACAGGGCGCTCTTCTTGTCCTCCCTGTCTTTGTTTTCTTTGTAGTAGGCAATAAGGTGTAGGGCAGCAGGAGGCAGATGTTTGTGGGGTTTACTAGAAGACCTGGGTGTACCCCCAGAATTCCGTGGGGCTCGGGTCATCTTCTGAGTGCCCTTGGCCATATCCAACAAAGTCATCTGCTTCATTTTGGTTTTAGGAGTCTTCAAGCCCTTTTTAGGAGATTTGGAATTACCTGTGGATTTCTGTCCATTAAGGATGCCTTTGCTTCTACCCTTCACTTTCAAAGGTTTGTCACTATGCTTCCCTGATTTCTTGGCAGGTGGGCCTTTCTTAGGAATGTGAAAGTTGGCGTGTAGCTTGTTGGGTGACATCATCTTCATCACTTCTTCCAGATGTTCTTCTGGAGACTTGGAATTCTTTGAGTTCTTCACTTTGAGTGGTGAGCCATTCAAGGATTTCTTCAAATGTACGTGACACCATAACTTGGGATTTAGGGGTGAACTCAGAGAAGAGTTGTCGGTCTTGGATTTTTTTGAAGGCTTCCTATCTGGGGATCCAGTATTCTTCCTCTTAGTAGAAGGGTTGAGAGTCATGTACTAGAATTTAAGAACAGGAGCAAAATTAATTTTAAAAACTAATTTAAAGAAGCAACACTTAAGCATCATAAAGGCCCTCTTCCCCAGCTATCCAGGTAAAGATACATATTCATTTCTGTTCAAAGACACCATGTCCCTAAACAAAGACATGAATGTTAGTTGATGTTTTGGCCCTATCAATACAAAACTGATAGCCAGACTTAAAAATCTATACTCTTAAAATTAAACATTTTTGCTATGTAACTATATGTGTTCTGTTTATATATGGTGCTAGCAATTCTTAGATATTTTAATGACATCTGTGAGCCCTTTCCCCAGAAGCAACATATGATAATTCTGCATTCTATTTCAGAATCCATCTGTAGATCCCAGACTGAGGATACCTGATTTAGAAAATGGCAACATCTAAAGAGTTAATAAAGTATTACTCTGGATTTCTTATCATTTAAACCTCTGTTCCCACTAGGAACATTCTATGCTTTTAAGTAGAAAAATTTAAGTATTTTTGTCTAAATGCAGAAGCATATTTTCTTACTTACAATACCACAACAAAAATCATTGCTCATAAACAGGGAGCCCTCCCGCCCTGGTTCCTCAAACTCCCCTTTGTCCTGTCGCCACACATCGAGAACTCATTCCCGTGAATACATTACTAACTATAAGCCCTCTATATTCTCAACCTCATACAATCCCCTCATGTCCTTGAAATTCACTCCCTCTAGTAGCCCAACTCTGCAATCCTTTAATCCCTGCCAGGACCTTAAATCCATTAGTTCTACCAAACTTTCTGCACACTCGCTTCCTTGTTCTTCTTACCCACATTAAATTCCGGTCAGTTGCTATAATCAATCTTGCATGAACCTCTAGTTCCCTGGCCTCTCCTGCTCTACTACACCTAGTTCCCTGGCCCATACATGTTCAGCTTACACAGGCATGGAATTAAAGATACAAACGCAGTGTGTGGTCTCACTTTAAATTCAGAACCAGGTACCTCAAATGCATCCTGAATACCACCCTTAATATATTCCTTATCGATTTAACATATTCCTTTAGTCCATTCACTTCCCTCTCCCCTGGACACATATCTATCTCCTATCTCCTCAAACCACCATATCCCCTTCATAGAGAATTAGTTAATAGGTTAGAACCCAGTCAACTTGTCATAATACCATGGTTTCTGTTTAACAGTGGATTTAAAAAAAAAAAAAAAAAAAAAAAAAAAAAACTGTGGATTTTCAAACTTAAATTTTTTTTTTTAACATTTATTCATTTTTGAGAGTGAGAGAGACCGAGCATGAGCGGGGGAGGGGCAAACAGAGAGGGAGACACAGAATCCGAAGCAGGCTCCAGGCTCTGAGCTGTCAGCACAGAGCCTGAGTGGGGCCCAAACTCACGAACCGTGAAATCATGACCTGAGCTGCAGTCGGACGCTTAACCGACTGAGCCACCCAGACGCCCTGATTTTCAAACTTTAAAGAATGTAATTACAAAGAAAAAAGCTTGGCAGCTAAACCGTAAACTAAATGAAATAATAACCAACCAAAGTAAAAGTAGAGCCAATTTCAAAAAAATTCTAGTGACTAGGAGAAAGATTAGAAAACCTTTAGAATATTCAATTTCTGTTACCAAAAGCAACTAAGCACAGAGGGCACTCAGAGACCTGAGCCTAACTCAAAGTTTGAGTGGGAAGGACGAACTTGACAGAAGCTGCATATAGACAGCAGCCTGGAGGCAGCTGGTTAAGACAGGCCCACAGGAGAGGAGACTGCAGGTGAGGAAGCAGCTAAACGCTATGGAACATGAAATGATGAGCTCCTTTAAAAAGGCAAGAAGGAAGTGCTACGAGGAGTACACCCCAGAGATGATAGGAAAGAACACCCATGCTCTTGTCAGGAGTAAACAGGTACGGTAAAATTTAATAAGCTGTACTGCAACACCAGGTAAGATTTAAACATTATGGATCTAATCACCAGAGAAACAAACTCACAGAACCAAGGCAGCACAAGTAGGAGAAATATGGTCTGCAATGAATGAGTGGACTACACCTAACATCCTCCTTTTGATTAAGTCCCCAGCTTCAAGGATTTTATTTTTTTAAGTAATCTCTACACCCAACATGGGTTTAAACTCACAACCCCAAGATCAAAAGTCGCACACTCCACCAACTGAGCCAGCCAGGCGCCCCAAGTCTCCAACTTTTGCCTTTTACGGACAACAGGCAATTACAGATTATTGTTCCTCTAGCGGGCTGTTTTTGTTGCCTGACTAAAACTGTAAGTTTTGTTCCCCAATTATCATCCTCCATATCAGCTGACAAAGAGGCTTCATAGTTTATAGAACATAAACAATATCTATCTGTAACTCAGGGGATATTTTCTCCAGAAGCAGAATTTCCCAGTCTTAGTTCCCCAGAACTAGATTTCAAAATGTTAACAAGAGTGAGCAAAGATAGGGGCGCCTGGGTGGCGCAGTCGGTTAAGCGTCCGACTTCAGCCAGGTCACGATCTCACCGTCTGTGAGTTCGAGCCCCGCGTCGGGCTCTGGGCTGATGGCTCAGAGCCTGGAGCCTGTTTCTGATTCTGTGTCTCCCTCTCTCTCTGCCCCTCCCCCGTTCATGCTCTGTCTCTCTCTGTCCCAAAAATAAATAAACGTTGGAAAAAAAAAAAAAAATTAAAAAAAAAAAAAAAAAAAAAAAGAGTGAGCAAAGATAGCTTATGTGAGACTCCACTCTCCGCTTGGACAGTAATAGTACCAATACTCCAAAGACCACCCTACAAATCATAGACTAAGGCCCAAAACTACTCTGGCAGGAACTAAAGACAAATGTGTTAACTAAAGACAAGTTAGCCATCCTCTTCAACCAGCTTTGGAAAATCTTCAGAGTATAGACATAACAGATGGATACTTTTTCTAATGCTCAGGATAACAGGCTATATTTAAAGTCATTCTAAAATGAAATTTATCACTAAAAAGGAGACTAGCGTGAGACTATGTTTCATTTTTACCATTTCAAATAGGTATCATTTAATAGGGCCTATTATAATTTGGCCACTTCTTAATTTACTGATTACTTTTCTATTTAAAAAGTCACTCAAATTTTCATAAGGTTCTTTAAATTTCTTCTATTTAGAAGCATTATACTATGCAGAATTGATGTAAGAGCTGGGATGGCTTAGCCATGAGAGGGTCCAGCAACCCATTTATTTTTATTTGTAAGGTGTGTTTTTTGGCCAAATCACACCATATAATTTTTTTTCTTAAAAATGAAAGAAATTAACTCACCCAACCCCCTCCCAACAGGCCGGCTCCCCGCGTGAGCAGTCCTTCAGTAACTGGATCATCTCAGCATAGGGCATGCTGGGCAGTCACAGCCACATGGGAGCCGGCATGGCTGGACTCAGGGGGATCTGAAAAAGTATAAAACCACTTATGTGCTAAGGGTCTCCCTACCCCCCATTCAGCATAAGTAATCTATCGGAATAGTGCACAGAGAGGGAGAAAAGAATGGACACCCAGAATAGCAGAATTATAGGTTTTAGGCAAGGCCCTTTCTAAGTGCTAAACAGGAACGAAATACTAATGAATGTCTCACAATGTGAAAGCCTTTAAGAAAAAGTGTATACAATTCTATACCTGCTCCCTGTCAAGTGAAACAAACCACCACCCCAAATAAGAAAATCTATTAAATAAGATAAAAATGAAGAAACTTTATTTATAGCAGCTCACTCAGATGCTAAATTTAACTTGATAGTAAGTGGCCAAGAGCCCTGCACTGGAAAACTCCAGCAATCTGTATTCTAACATTTACTTCTCTCTACATTCACCCCAGGAGCTGTGGTAGGAGTTTCAAGGTAACACTCACACAATGGGTTCGCCTCAATCTCTAGATGTCTTTATCAGCAAATGTGCAAAATAGGTTACCATAAAATAGTCTTAAGTACTTCTAAAGTTAACTTATTTTTAAAGTGCTCGGGGGCGCCTGGGTGGCTCAGTCAGTTGAGCGTCTGACTTTGGCTCAGGTCATGATCTCACGGTTCATGAGTTCGAGCCCCGCGTCAGGCTCTGTGTTGACAGCTCAGAGCCTGGAGCCTGCTTCCGATTCTGTGTCTCCCTCTGTCTCTGCCCCTCCCCTGCTCATGATTTGTCTCTCTCTGTCTCTCAAAAATAAACATTAAAAAAAATAATAATAATAAAAAAATAAAGTGCTTCTGCTCTAGTCTCTAACTCAAACAGAAAATTCCAAAGGCAAACTTAAAGAAAAACATCAAAACCCTGAACATTTACTTGAAACATTAATGAGGAGAGATAAGAAACATCTTTAAAAATATGTAATGTCATTAAGTAATGAGACAAAATTAAATTACATCAGGTGCCTTTTGATATAATTCACTCTAAGAGGCACACAACATCAATTCTGTGGTATCTCTACCAAAAACCCATAACCTGAATGTAATTATATGGAAATAACCCTGAATTGAAAAGCATCATATAAAAATAACTGGCCTGTATCCTTATAAAACATCAAAAGTTTCTGAAAGACAAAGAAAAGCTGAGAGACTTCTTCAGATCAGAGGAGACCTCAGTCTCCTAACAAGTCACAAAACAAGGAAACATAATACATGATACTACACTGGAGCCTGTGAAAACAAAAACAAAATTTAGCTAAAAAGACAATATTGGGACAAATTTCAAAACATGCGTAAGAACTGCAGATAACAGTATTGTTTCAATGCTAATTTCCTGATTTTGATACCTGTACTATACTTATGTTAGAAAATAGCCTTGTCAGGGCACCTGGGTGGTTCAGTCAGTTAAAAGTCCAACTTCAGCTCAGGTCATGATCTCACAGTTGGTGAGTTTGAGCCCCGCATCGGGCTCCGTGCTGACAGCTCAGAGCCTGGAGCCTGCTTTGGATTCTGTGTCTCCCTCTCTCACTCTCTCCCCCTCCCTTCCCCTCTCTAAAATAAATAGATAGATAGATAGATAGATAGATAGATAGATAGATAGATAGATAGATAAATGTTAAAAAAAAAAAAGTAGCATTTAGCCATTATATATTGATCCAAAAGCTTCCCTACTATGGGGTACCTGGGTGGCTCAGTGAGTTAAGCATCCAACTTTGGCTTAGATCATGATCTTGCAGTTCAGGAGTTTGAGCCCCCCGTTGGGCTCTGTGCTGACAGCTCAAAGCCTGCAGCCTGCTTCGGACTCTGTGTCTCCCTCTGTCTCTCTCTGCCCCTGCCCCTCCGGTTTGTGCTCTCCCTCGCTCTCAAAAATAAATAAATAAACGTTAAATTTTTTTTCTTAAACCAAAGCTTCCCTACTAGGATATACCAATCTAAAATAAGAGTAACAAAACACTAGAGCTGCAATGTTATTACCAAAGGGCAATGAGCCAAGGTAGCAGATTTCATCTTAGATGACTGGGATCACACAAATAAATGCCTTCTAAATCACTCCAAGTCATTATCCCTAAACTCAACTGTCCACTGCATTTTTTTTCAATGAATGGTACTTCTTAAAGAGATGACTTCACAAGCCACACACCTATTATACCTATCTAAGTATCTAAGTATCACAGAACATAAAATGAGTAAGATAGTTCTTCTAGTCAAGTTTTATGTTCTAGAGTTTGTAAGACCACAAACACACTCTCATTATCACAATAGGCCCTATTCGGCTCACACTCCAAAATTCCATATCCCTAAATAACTTTTTCCTCTCTCCCACCTAAGCTCTCCCTGCTGGTCCTTTCCTCAAACTACTGCTCAGAACTTGCTTCCTCTCTCCAGGTCTCCTCTCTCTCCACAGTAGCTACATTCAGCAGCCTGGCAGAATATCAAGTTCTACAAAATCCAAAGAGAAGGCAAAGAGAGAAAAACAATTTTTTCAAGCTATTGACTTTGGAATAGGCAGATCATAGATCTGATCAATGTGAATCCTCAAGGCATTATTTAAAATCTCCTTTGATGAAGAAAGAAAATCCAAAGTATTGTTTTATGGTCTACTTATCTATGTCTTTACTGTATTCTGTCCTGGCTGAGATGCTAGAAGTTCCTTAAGAAAACTACAAATAGGAAAAACACAACTTATATGCAAAACTCAGGAGACAAAATCAGCGACAGGTCAAATCGTACGGGGAGATAAGAATTACTGTGTAGAATGGTATTGTACAGGAGTCTCAATTTCTCTAAGCATAATCACTGACTTTAGGCAGCACTTTGTTCTAAACAAGCTTACAATTCCTAACCTCAATCTTATAGCCAGGTTCTATTAAGTTAGTATCTTAAGACCTCATTAGAAAATTTGAGAATAGGTGATTTATTCATACACTCCTGGAATTCTAGTCTCTGGCTCCTACAGAAAGTGAGTTAAGCATCCACAGAAAGTGTGGATCAGCTTTTTTGTTCTTATTAGCCCAAAAGACCTTTTACCCATAAATAATACTTAGTCTTTCTTCTTCTTCTTTAAGTCTTTCATGTCATTCACATACTTAAACTAAACTAAAATACATAAAAGACAGCTGTTAAGATTTAACAAGAGGAAAATATTTAAGGACTCAAATGATCCAAGGGTCTAAAAACTCATTCAGAGATGATTTTATATAGGATTTTTATATATGACAGTAATCTTATGTTATAGACACTGAAAGCCTTACCAGAATTCCAAAACTCTATAGCAATGAAATGACAAATAATTAAAACTTCCCCTCAGTAAATAAAAAACTTTAGTACTGATCTAGAAAAAGCCAATTGGGGTGCCTGGGTGGCTCAGTCAGTTGGGCGTCCGACTTCGGCTCAGGTCATGATCTCGCGCTCCGTGAGTTCGAGCCCGGCGTCCGGCTCTGTGCTGACAGCTCAGAGCCTGGAGCCTGTTTCAGACTCTGTGTCTCCCTCTCTCTCCAACCCTCCCCCGTTCATGCTCTGTCTCTCCCTGTCTCAAAAATAAATAAACGTTAAAAAAAAAAATTTAGAAAAAGCCAATTAATTTCTAATTTTCCTTTTTATGCAAATAATAAAAATTTAAAGAGCATAGGAAGAAAATGCTTGATCATGCTGGTCTGGAATAAGAAAACATGCTAAATATTAAACTATGGTTGGAGAAATAAAATTATTTCTCCATATAATTTTGTCAGCAAAATCAGTCTAAAATAATTGAAGTAATTTAATTGTATGCCTCAAGATGTGCTTCATTTTTCAAAATTGAAAGGAAGGGGAAAAATCTGTTTTAAATGGATCAGTAGCCCTCTGCCAGTCCTATCCTGGCCCAAAGACAAAGGTGAAATATCAGTATGCAAATCAGTAAAGTTGCCAACGAAAGACATATATACTCTCAAAACTTACATTAAAAAAAAATCTTATTGGAGGGACACCTGGGTGGCTCAGTAGGTTTGAGCATCCAACTTCGGCTCAGGCCATGATCTCATAACTTGTAAGTTTGAGCCTCACATCGGGCTCTCTGCTGTCAGCACAGAGCCTTTTTCAGATCCTCTACCCCCCCTCTCTCTGCCCTGCTTGAATGCACATGCACATTCTCTATCAAAAATAAACAAACATTTAAAAAAAATCTTATTGGAGAAACCCTGAGATAGAAAAGACAATCAGAAATCTGAGGCCAAGGTCTTGGCTTTTGTCATTTTAGTTTCTGTTGGTTTTAATTAGACTAGCCTCAGTTCCTGCAACTGGAAAATAAGATTATGTGTATGTGTATGTAGGTATGTATGTATGTATATATGTATATAAAATACACATACACCCGACACAACATTATAAGAATTGTTTGGAAGATCAAACGAGTTGATTAAAGAAAACAAAAAACAAACAAACAAAAAAACATTTTCAAGAGGGAAATGCTAGGTTTTCTACTAATCTGCCATACAAACTAATACCCATTCCAAGTCTTTTTCAAGGCTGCTGATGTGTTTATCTTATCTGATATACAAAATCAGTTTTCATTCTTAGGAATTAATTTGTAAAAAATTTTTTCCTATTTATATCATACCTCATTCCAAGAAGAATCTGAGGCAAAAAACCGTGTGTGTGTCTGTGTTTTAATCAACCATAGTAAAAAATAAATCAATCTAGGAGAGATTTTCAATATCAACCCCACATCATCATCTACATAAAACAGATGGATGTCAAAATTTCTGAATCCATTATCTGATGTTAAGAGCTCAAAATCTAATCTAACTGGAGCTACTGAAGAAAACGAACTCGTTTAAGTGTTCTACCTTGCTCTTCAAAAATTAATAGTGACCTTACCTTGTATGGATCAAGTAAAAAGTCACTGAACTTGCTAGGCAGGGAATATTTCTTCACCAATTCGTCTTCTACCACCCATGGTGCATTTTCACCAGTACCAGCCCGTAATGCGTTATGCCGTATAAAGTATCGAAGTATCTCCTTATTTGGTGGGCGTTCTGTACGAATCAAGCTGTCTGCTGGCACATTACTGATGATCTAGGTTAACAAATATAAATAACTTACCACTGGGGTTAAAAGCAATTAACCACGGAGAACAAAGATTTATGTTCTTTCCAGAAAAATCATAACTCCCTCTATAAAACAGGGCTATAAACTAGATGAAAGAAAAATAATTTTCAGAAACAGAATGTTAAATTAAACACATCCCTAGGCAATTTATCTGTATGTATCAAAGACCTAAAACTGTGCATACCCACTGAACCAGCAATTCCTCTTGTTAAGAATTTAGAAATAAATGGACTGTCAACTGCTAATAAAAGGAAGGGGGGGCGTCCCATAAAGGTACATCAGTAAGGGATTCATTTTTTAAATTAAAATACATCCAGGGGCTTGGGTGGTATGAAGCTGTTGGGTGTCCGACCAGCCAGGTCACGATCTACGCGGATCCGGTGGAGTTAGGCTCTGGCCTCAGTCTGGGCTGGATGGCTCCAGAGCCTGGAGCCTGTTCTGATTGCATGTCTCCCTCTCTCTCTCTCTGCCCCTCCCCTCCTCTGTCTCTTCTCTCTGTCCCAAAAATAAAAAAAATTAAAAAAAAAAAAATTGAAAAAAATACATCCATACAATGAATGAATGCAACCATTATATGCATATAATATATACATGCATATAATTATGTATAATATATTACATATAATATACACAACCATAGGGGGAAAATGTTTCTCAATAGGACGAATTTATCAGAATCGTCTAAGGTGCAGATTCTTGGCCCCCAAGCTTACTGAATGAGAAGAATCTCTGGCAGTAGAGGCTGGGAATCTAGATTTTTTAATAAAACCCCCTGATGACTATCATACACACTACAATCTGAAAATACTATTTTGGAAAAAAATTTAATGACATCACAGACGTTTACCATATAGTAAATGAAAAAAGCAAGTTACAAAATAGTGTATATAGAATCCTCTCTTTTTTCCCCCTAAAATTTTATTTTTAGGTAATCTCTATACCCAACATGGGACTCAAACTCATAACCCCAAGATCAAGTATCATACTTTACCAACTGAGCCAGCCAGTGCCCCGACTCCTATTTTCAAAAGTCACTTAAAAGCTGGGGCACCTGGGTGGCTCAGGTCCTGATCCCAGGGTTGTGGGATGGAGCCCCGTGTTGGGCTCTGTGCTGAGCATGGAGGCTGTTCAAGATTCTCTTTCTCTCTCCCTCTGCCCCTTGCCCCTAACTCAATGTTCTAAAAAAAACAAACAAGCTAACCACCATTAACCACATCTATATTCACCAAATATCATCTCTGAGCACAGGATTAGAAATATCTTTTACCCTTATTTGTATATTCTATCTTCCTCTATTTACTACACGTAAACAAAGCAATTTACATTCTTCACACTCATCAGTAAGAATACAAACGATAATCAGGGAAGTGGATGAGACTCCCTAGTAATAATATTTTAACTAGCAACCCTGCTGAAGGTGAAGAAACTCAGTGAAAAACTGTATTTAACATCCAATTTTCAAATATAAAGAAATCCTAACAATTTAGCAATGCCTTCACATCAACTATACAACAAATGGAGTCAAAGTGCTGGGGGCGATCAGATGACTCAGTCAGAAGAACATTCGACTCTTATCTCAGGGTTGTAAGTTCAAGCCCCACGTTGGGTATAGAAATTACTTAAAATTAAAATCTTCAAAAAAAAAAAAGAGTCAAAATAGAATAAGACTTGTCAACTTTTTGAGGTGGGAAAAAAAATCCAACACTCTGAAGAGCCAAAAGAACTGGGTTATACTCCTTCCCACGCTCATTTACTAAATTAGGAACTTTGACAGAATTCTTCAACTTCTCAGGCCCTAGCTGTTTCTTCTATAAACAGTTGAACAGGAAGACAAATGTGCAGTTATCTTCCATATCCAGCAGCCCATCTTGCCTCTTTCTAAATACAAGATTTTACACATACAGGTATACAAGTATCTGAAACTAATATGCCATATTTCATGGATTCTAAGACACTATCAATGAAAAAACACAGTGTTTTATATGCCACTAAGAAAACAATTCTTGCCAATTCATTTAAGTGATGTCCTGACTCTGGACATATTAAAAACATTCAAACCTTAGAATCAAAACTTAGCACTAAGTTATTTTAAGGGTATTTACTGTTTTAGATTATTAGCTTCACAGATACCTTGTAAAAGCGCTGATGAGAACTGACTTGGTTTCTGAGTTTATTACAAATTGCTTTATTTTTAACTGGGAAGAGCTATTTCCTGGAGAAAGTCCGTAACTGCTGCGAACCGATTCTTATTTTTCAAACTGAGTTTGAAACTCAAATGCAAATTATTCTTAGACCCTAATAATTCTTATTAAAAGAAAACAGTATGCTATCTCCTAGGGGAAAAAAATACAATTTAACTTAAGGTCATAATTACAAAGACTACAAAAGCCTAGAATTTACCGTAGAAACACATTCATTCACATTTTTCTGTAGCACATTTTCTCCGAGAAAACTGGCCCTATGATATTTTCTGAAATAGCATTTTCGACATTTAAGAGGTTTAATATAAAGTGCCAACTAACCTTATCTTCATTTTGTAATTTCACATCATATTTGTGAGGCAAAAATTTTGGCGGAGCCCATTTCCTTTCTCCTTTTTTTAATGAAGTAGGGAGTTTTCGTGGAGATCTACGTGCTCTGTCATCTAGTCAAATCAATAGAAAATTAGTGAAAAAAATACGTCTTTAATTTTATCCATTCATTTATTAATAATCTTATTGAACACCTACTCTGCACCAGGCACTGAGCGATGAGACACAAAGATGAATCATAAAGTCCTTACCTCAAGCAGATCAAGTCTGTGAGAGTCTACAAAACTTACAATATAATGTGGCAAAATACTGTAACAGAGATTGGGACAAAAAAAAATACTATGAGAGCAGAGAGGAGCAACTCTAACTTGGTCTGGAAGACAGGCAAAGGAGAGGCCTAGAACGACTAGAACTTGTTCAGAGACTATAAGCCGTAAAATGAGTGAATATGATCTACGCTATAGTAAAAACATCAGACTAAAGATACGTAGGAGCCAAATTATAAATAACACTGTACACCTTTTTAAAAAAATGTTTAAATGTTTATTTTTGAAAGAGGGAAAGTATGAGCGGGGGAAGGACAGAGAGAGGGAGACAGGATCTGAAGCAGGTTCTGCGCTGACAGCAAAGAGCCCAATGTGGGGCCCAAACTCATAAACTGTGAGATCATGACCTGAACCGAAGTTGAACACTTAACCGAGTCACCCAGGTACCCCCATTTTTTTTTTTTTTTTTTAAGTAGGCTCCATGTCCAATGTCCAGCGTAGGGCTTGAACTCGAGACCCTAAGATCAAGAGTCACATGCTCTACCAACTGAGCCAGCAGCCAGGAGCCCGAACACTGTATACCCTTTAGAGACCGGAATTTGTCTCATGGGCACTAGGGAAACAAAGGATTTCTTGTCTAACTAACTAGATATACATTTTGAAAGATTACTAGTCTGAAAAAAACTGAGAAAGAAAATAACACTTTTGAAAGTTAGAAAATGAGTAAAATGGCAAGGTGAGACTGAAGAATGGGAAATCACAAGATGTAATACTAAACACCTGAATTAATATAACTGGAATGGAGACTAAAAGAGTCAAGAGGTATTTAGAATACAAGACTTGGTAACCACCTAGATGTGGAAATGCTAACGGCTTCCACGTTTTCTGCCTTAGGGACCAAGGAGACGACAGTGTCATTAACTGAGTAAAAGAATGCTGAAAGACTAGCAGGATTCTTGTTGACATGCCTTGGGAAGACAACATAAGCAAGACGATTAATTCAGCTTTACAGGTGTTAAATTTGAACTGCTTGGGACATGCATGTGAAGACTAGATCTAAAGTTTAGGAGTTAAACTGATGTGGTCCTGGAAATCGTCAGCCTTTATACAGATTAAGAATTTAAACTGTGGACGGAATGAAATGTAACAGTACACTTCTGCAGAAAAATAAAAAGGCAGCAAGGGTGCCTGGGTGGCTCAGTAGGTCAAATTACCAACTCTTATTTTCGGCTCAGGTCACTATCTCATGGTTCATGAGTTTGAGCCCCATATTGGGCTCCTCACTGATAGCACAGAACCTGCTTGGGATTCTCTCTCCCATTCTCTCTCTCGGTCCATTTCCCAATCACATGCGTACACTCTCTCTCTCAAAATAAATAAACAAACTTAAAAAAAAAAAAAAGGCAGCAGGCAGCTCTTCCTGCCCACAGGCTTTATCCCCATACTTTAATAAAATCACCTTTTTGCACCAAAAAAAAAAGGGGGGGAGCAGAAAATTCCTATGAAAAATAATTTAATGAGAAAAGGAGGTTAAAAGAAAAACAAAACAGGAAAGTAGGGGTGCTTGGCTGGTTCAGTTGGAAAAGCATGTGACTCTTGATCTCAGGGTCATGAGTTCAAGTCCCATATTGGGTGCAGAAATTACTAAAAATAAAAATAAAACAGAAAAGTAGTTGGGAAACCTAAGAGACTATGGTACTAAATAAGCTGAAAGATATGAGAGTGACCAACAGTCAAAGTTAAATGGAACAGAAAAGTAAAAAAAAAAAAAAAAAAAAAAAAAAAAAAAAAAAAAAAAAAAACAAAAACAAAAACAAAAAACAAAAAACAAAGAAGAAATCAGTGAATTCTGCAATTAGGGGGTCACCTATAACCTTATTAGGAACAGTTTTAGGAATAAAGAGGCAGAAGTCACACTTATACGTAACAGTGTAAGGAATAAACTCATGGTCAGAAAGCAGAGACAACATTCTCAAGAATCTTACCTTGAATGAATTAAGACAGAAATAGAACAACAGGATCAAGGGAGGATAGTTTTTGTTTTTAGAAAATGGGACTTTATTTATAAGTTAAGAATGATTAGAAAAAGGGTTTAAAACATTCTATAGTAGGGGCGCCTGGGTGGCACAGTCGGTTAAGCGTCTGACTTCAGCCAGGTCACGATCTCGCGGTCCAGGAGTTCGAGCCCCGTGTCGGGCTCTGGGCTGATGGCTCAGAGCCTGGAGCCTGTTTCCGATTCTGTGTCTCCCTCTCTCTCTGCCCCTCCCCCGTTCATGCTCTGTCTCTCTCTGTCCCAAAAATAAATAAACGTTGAAAAAAAAAATTTTTTTTAAACATTCTATAGTAGACTAATAAGTTTACCTATTCCTTGAAAAACTAGGAGGGAATGGAATTCAAAGAACAAGTACCTTCGCCAATTGGAAAGACCACTCCCTTCTAAGATGGAGGAAGAATACAGAAGTTGCTACCAGAGAGGTTAGGAACACAAAGCTGAAAAGTTCCTGCCCTAATACATTATTTCTACCCCCTACAAAGTAAAAGGCAAGGTCACATGATGAGAACATATTTTTCATACTGGAATTTGCCTATCATATTTCTATGAAAATTCTAATCAATTTTTCCCTGAAGACATTCAGAGTACACTGTAACATTCTTTAGCTCACCTACGACGCGTAACAATATACTAGAAATGACATTATATCCCAATAATTAAAACCTGAACTAAGGCACAGGCTCTAAAAAATAGCCAAAGCCTAAAACCAGCAGTTCCTGGCACATGATGCTTAAGGTATAAAACTAACAACTGTAACACATCATTGGTATGCCAATGATTTGATTCTATAAGAAAAGAAGTGTTAGAAGACCTAACAGCCAACACTTAACCAAAACACTTATCCTCCTCAAATCTTAGGATCTGTGAAAAACACACATATTATAAACCTCCAGTATCAAAAAGGAGAAAAACTGAAAAACACAGACATTAGCATTCATAGTACACAGTGGAAAACAAAACTAAAGTATCAACAACTGCGGGGGAGGGGGACAGCTACACAACAATCTCAGAAGCTGCCTTGGGAGTAGGTAAGGACATCCCTCTAAAACCATCTGCACATATCCAAAACATCTGGAGACACAAAACAGAAGGCAGACAGTGGAACATTCTAATGCAACATTCTAACTCGAACTTTATGACAGTTAAATAATGAAGTAAAATTACTGGATCCTCTAACAGTCACAGAGAGGGGATCAGTATACACAAACCCTCTTGAGTAATCCTATTTTTGGAAAAAGAAGGGACCCAAATAAATTCCTTATTTACACAAATTTAAAAAAAAAAAAAAAAAGAAGGACTCAGAGGCTAAAAAGTCTCCCCGGTGAACAACATCTCTGTTTCTCAACTTTCAACACATCATGGTTAAGGTCTCCAGGCCCCTAAAATTTACTTTTAGAGTTTCACAATTCTGGCAATTCCTATCTGAGAGGGACCTGAATTTATGCAGATAAAATGAAATCTCTTAAAAGCACCACAATGGCTTACAAAATGAAAAAAGAAAAAAAAAAAAAAAGAGCGGGACCCTTGGGTGGCTCAGTCGGTAAGTGTCTGACTTCAGCTCAGGTCATGATCTCATGGTTCAAGAGTTTGAGCCCGTCAGGCTCTGCACTGACAGCTCAGAGCCTGGAACCTGCTTCGGATTCTGTACCTCCCTCTCTCTCTGCCCCTCCCCTGCTTGTGCGGATGGGCTCTCTCTCCCTCTCAAAAATAAACCAATATATAAGAAAGAGAGAGAGAGAGAGAGGGATAGAGAGAGAGAGAGAGCGAAGAAAAAAGAAAAGAAAAGAAAAGAAAAGAAAAGAAAAGAAAAGAAAAGAAAAGAAAGGAAGGAAGGATGGATTCAAATTAGCTCCTCCTATTCCAATCACCCCCCTTCCACGCATCCTTATGAATGTCCAACTTGGGAGAAAAGGAAAGCAAACTCTTTCCCATCCTGAGTAGGCAGGTATGTGCACACAGATTTCTAAGCAGCCAGAGGTAAGACTTCCCCCTGGTCTTAACTGTGTGGGGAGATTTAAATCTTGATTCCCTTAGTGGATATTTTAATTGTTTTCTGAATCATAAATGAACAAAAACATATCTATTTATCTATAAAACAATTACAAATTTAATTGTTAGAACTCAAAAGATTTATGGAGGATAAAATAAACAGAGTAGCATAACTCACTAAGGAAAGCTAGCATCATACATACTAATACTCTCTCTCCTTCCTTCATCCTCTTTTACAACTGGCTCCTTCTTCTGATGATCCTGAGCAATTTGGCTAGAATTCTCTTTGTCACTTGAGGGAGAATCACAGGCACCGTCTGATTTCTTCTCAGTGGCCTCTTCATCCACTTTCTCCAAAGGATGAATCTTCACAATCCTCACCTTGAGCATTTTTTCCTTCCCAACCTATAAAGGAGACAAGAGAGAATCAAAGATAATAAAGAACCAAGAACCTAAAGATGTTTAGGATATATTATCCAATATATATCCCACTTCACCTGACAAAAAAATTCACTGAAAAAGTAGCCAAGTTGTGATTTTTTTTCCAACTTTGTTTCTCAGACTTCTAAACAGCAATAGGATACCTTAAAAAATAAAATGATCACAATCTAGTTCATAATTCATGTACCGATGTACTAAGGCTAAAAGGCCATCACTACACTAACCTGACATATGTGTAAACACAGTTCAAGAACTTCCATTTTGTTAAAAAATCAACTTCGTAGGGGTGCCTGGCTGGCTCAGTCAGAATAGCATGCAACTCTTGATCCTGAGGTTGTGAGTTCCAACTCCACGTTGGGTGTAGAGATTACTTAAAAATAATATCTTTGATAAATATATAACTATACATACGAATATCCAATTATTTTAGAATCATCTGTTGAAAAGACTACCTTTTCTTCACTTAATCATCTAACTATCAAAAATGAGCAGCATGTGTATACATGGATGGACGTATAGGAGTCTATTTCTGGATGCTATTGTGTCCCAATGAATCTATTAGTCTATCTTTACAACAATTTCATACCACCTTAATACTTGAAAATAAGGCTCAAAATCAGACAGTATTATACCTCTAACTTGGTTGTTCTTTGTCAAAGTTCTTTGCATTTTCACATGAATTTTACAATCAGCTTGACAGTTCCCATAAAAAAGCTTCTGGGATTTTTTAAAATAATTTTTTAATTTGAGTATAGTTGAAAAGCTGCTAGGATTTTATAGCATTTGTGGTGTATCTACACATCACTTTGGGAAGAACTGCCATTTTAACAATACTGAGTTTTCTGACCCATGAAGACAATATCTCTCTCCATCATTTAAGATCTTGTTTAATTTCTCTCAGAAACATTTTATAATTTTTAGTGTCTAGGTCTTGTATGCCTCTTGTCAGATTTACTCCTAGAGCACAGCATATTTTTGATGTTATCATAAATGGTACTGATCTTTCTAAATTTCAATTTCCAATTGCATGTTGCTAACATTGGTTTTCATATTATTTACCCTAAATCCTGCTACCCTGCTAAACTCACTTGTTAGTTCTAAGAGGTTTTATGGGAGATTCCAGATTTTCTACATGGATAATCATGCTGTCTACACATAAAGATAACTATACTTCTTCCTTTACAATTTAGATGCCCTTTATTTCCTTTTCTTGACATACAACTAGCTAGAACCTCAAATACAATGTTAAATGGAGTGGGAGAGCAAGCATTCAGTCTTTTACCATTAGGTATAATGCTAGCTGGTGACTAATCTGTAAATATCCTTTATCAGGTTGAAGAAATTTCTTTTTTTTTTTTTTAGGTTGAAGAAATTTCTATTTGCAGTTTGCTCTAAGTTTTTATTAGGAACTAATGTCGGACTTTGTTGAATGCTTTCTTTGTGTAAACTGGAGATGACCATATAGTTTTTCTTGGTTGTTCTTAACTGAATTATAAATTTAAAAGAGCCCAAATGTCCATCAACAGATGAATGGATAAAGATGTGGTACATAAATATATACAATGGAGTACTACTCAGCAATCAAAAAGAACGAAATCTGGCCATTTATGACAATGTGGATGGAACCAGAGGGTATTATGCTAAGCAAAATTAGAGAAAGACAAGTATCCTATGACTTCACTCATATGAGGAATTTAAGATACGAAACAGATGAACATAAGGGGAAGGGAAGCAAAAATAACATAAAAAACAGGGAGGGGGACAAAACATAAAAGACTCTTAAATATAAAGAACAGAGGGTTACTAGAAGGATTGTGGGAGGAGGGTGGACTAAATGGGTAAGGGGCATTAAGGAATCTACTCCTGAAATCATTGTTGCACTACGTGCTAACAAACGTGGATGTAAATTTACAAATATATTTTAAAAAAGAATTATACAGGGGCACCTGGGTGGCTCAGTCGGTTAAGCGGCCGACTTCGGCCCAGGTCATGATCTCGCTGGGTCCGCGGAGTTCGAGCTCCGCCGGGCTCTGGGCTGGACAGCTCAGAGCCTGGAGCCTGTTTCTCGATTCTGTGTCTCCTCTCTCTGACCTCCCGCTCATGCTTTGTCTCTCTCTCTGTCTCAAAAATAAATAAACGCTAAAAAAAAAAAAAATTAAAAAAATTAAAATATAAAAAAGAATTATACATAAATTTATAACAACTTTGCATTTGGAGGATTAACCCCACTGGGTAATGATGAATTATCCTTCTCCTAAGGAAGTGTTGCATTTCATTTGCTAAAATTTTGATTAGAAAATTTTCCATCTATGGGTACCTGGGTGTCTAAATAGTTGATGAACTCTGATTTTGCCTCAGGTCATGATCCCAGGGTTGCGTGATTGAGCCCTGAGCTGGGTTCTGTGCTGAACGTGGAACCTGCTTGGGATTTTCTCTCTCCTTCTCTCTCTCTCTCCCCTCTGCCCCTCTCCCCTGATTGTGGTCTCTCTCTTGCTCTCTAAAAATAAAAACAGTAAAAATAGGAGTGTCTGGGTGATTCAGTCAGTTAAGCATCCAACTTCAGCTCAGGTCATGATCTCACAGTTCATGGGTGGGAGCCCCACGTCAGCCTCTGTGCTGATAGCTCAGAACCTGGAGTCTGCTTCAGATTCTGTGTCTCCCTCTCTCTCTGCCCCATCTCCACTTGCACTCTCTCCCAAAAATAAACATTAAAAAAAACTTTTTTTAATAAAAATAAAATAAAGAAATTTTGCATCTATGTTCACACAGGAGTTTTGTGGACACAGAATTTTTTTTTGCCTTATCCATAGTTTTTTCTTATAATGTGTTTATATGGTCTTAGTATTGGGGTAATACTGACCTCATACAATAATGTGCAAAGAATTCCCTCCTCCCTCCGCTCTTCTATTTTCTGGAAACGTCCGGATAGAATAGGTGCTATTTCTTCCTTAAATGTTTGGTAGAACTCACCAATGAAGACATTTGGGCCTGGAGTTTTGCCAGATAATTTTAACTACAAACTCATTTTCTTTAATAGATATAGGACTGTTAAGGTTTTTATTTCTTGCTGAATGCATTTTGGTAGTATCTTTCAAGGAATTTGTCCATTTAAGTTGTCAAATTTATTGGCATAAAGATGCTCCTAACATTCTCTTATAATCCTGTCAATATATGTAGACTGTAGTGACAATCATCTAATTCCTCATATTGGTTAATTTGTATCCTCTCTTTTTTTCCTGAGAGTTTGGCTAGAGGTTTATCAATTTTACTGATCTTTTCAAATTACCAGCTTTTGGTTGCACGACTTTCCTGTTTTCTATTTTACTGATTTTCACTTTGATCTAAACTTATTAAATCTTTTCTTCTTGTTTTCTTTGAATTTGAAAGCTCTTCTTTTTCTTAATTTCTTAAGGTAGAAGTCAATGATTTGAGAACTTTCTATTTTGTTTGTTTAAAGTTGCTTGGTTGTTTAGTGCTATACATTTCTCCTAAGCCCTACCATAAGCAACATCTCACAAATTCTAATATATTGTGTTTTCATTTTTTTTTTTTAATGTTTATTTATTTTGAGAGAGAGAGAGACACACATCCAAGCGGGGAGCGGGAGGGAGAGTGGGAGAGGGGAAGAGAGAGAGAGAGAGTTTCCCAAGCATGCTTGATCTCAGGAACCGTGAGATCATCACCTGAGTCAAATGCTTAACCAACTGAGTCACCCAGATGCCTTCATTCACATTCAGTTCAAAACATTTTCTAATTTCCCTTTTGATTTTCCCTTAACTCTGAGTAAGTTAAAGGTATGTTATTTAGTTTCCAATTATTTGTAATTTCCAATTATTTGCAGTTTCCAGATAACTATTATTGGTTTCTAATGTAATTCCATTTTCATCACAGTATATTCTCTGTAGGACTTGAATCCTTTTCAATTTATTTTATGGCCCAGAGTATGATCCACCTTGGTAAACTATACATTTGAGAGGAATGTCTCTTCTGTAGTTATCAGGTAGAGTATTTTATAAATGGTAATTAAGTCACATTGGTTGATAATGCTAACTCAAGTTTTCCATATTCTTGCTGACTTTCTGTCTCCATTTTCTATCAGTTACTGAGAAGAGAGGTGTTGAAAACTCCAACCATAACTATGATATCTATTTCTTCTTACAGCTCTATCCATTTTTGTTTCATACATCTTGAAAAACTCATTAGTAAATGCATAAACATTAAAGGCTGCTGTGTCTTCTTAAAAAACTGACCCCTCTCATTATGAAATATTTCTTAACTAAAATTCAAATTAAAAAAAAAAAAAAATGTAGGGGCGCCTGGGTGGCTCAGTCTGCTAAGTGTTCAACTTCAGCTCAGGTCATGATCTCGCAGTTAGTTCTTGAGTTCAAGCCCCGCATCGGGCTCTGTGCTGACAGCTCAGAGCCTGGAGCCTGCTTCAGATTCTGTGTCTCCCTCTCTCTCTGCCCACCCTTGCTCACACACTCTCTCTCTCCCAAAAATAAACACTAAAAAAAAAAAAAAAAAAATTAAAAAAAAATTTTACCTATGGTAATACTTTTTGCCCTGAAATCTACTTTGTCTTATATCTACATAGCCATTCCAGATTTCTTTCCTTTTGTGAGAGAGAGAAGGAACACACACACACACACAAGCAGGGAAGGAGGGGCAGAGGGAGACGTAGAAAGAATCTCAAACAGGCTCCAAGCCCAACACAGAGCTCCACACCGGGCTCAATCTCAATCTCACAATTGTGAGATAACGACCTGAGCCAAAATCAAGATTTGGGTGCTCAACCTACTGAGCCACCCAGGCACCTTGCCATTCCAGAATTCTTTTTCTTTTTTTTAAGTTTATGTATTTACTCTGAGAGAGAGTTGGGGGAAGGGGAAGAGAGAGACGGAGAGAGGGAAAATCCCAGGCAGGTTCCACACTGTCAGTGCAGAGCCCAATGCAGCGCTTGGACTCACAAACCATGAGATCATGACCTGAGCTGAAGTCAGCTTAAGTGACTGAGCCACCCAGGTGACCCCAGATTTCTTTTAATGTTAAGATGATACCTCTTTCTCCATCTTTTTACCATTATCCTATTTGCATCGTATAGGCAGCATATAATTGCATCTTGCTTTTTTATCCAATCTGGCAATTTCTATCTTTTAACTTAAATGTTTAGATCATTTATATTATATAATTACAAATACCACTAGGCATAGTTGCTTTCTATTCAGCATCATGAAAACTAAAAAAATTGTGCTCTTTAAAAGACACTGTTAAGAGAATCAAAACACAAGCCTCAACGGGCGACTGGGTGGCTCAGTAGGTTGAGTGTCTGACTTTTGGGTCAGGTCATGATCTCATGGTCCATGAGTTTGAGCCCCATGTCAGGCTCTGTGCTGACAGCTCAGAGCCTGGAGCCTGCTTCGAGTTCTGTGTCTTCCTCTCTCTCTGCCCCTCCCCTGCTTGCACTCTCTCTCTCTCAAAAAAATAAACATTAAAAAACAAAAAACATAGAACACAAGCCCTAGTGGGGAGCAAATAAAGAACCTGTATCCAGATCTCATAAAGAACTTGTATCCAGAATAAAAAAGTCTCAAAACTCAAAAACAAGAAAACAATCCAATTTAAAAATGGACAAAGATTTTTTTTTATTTTTTTTTTAATGTTTATTTATTTTTGAGACAGAGAGAGACAGAGCATGAATGGGGGAGGGTTGGAGAGAGAGGGAGACACAGAATCTGAAGCAGGCTCCAGGCTCTGAGCTTTCAGCACAGAGCCCGACGTGGGGCTTGAACTCACGGACCATGAGATCATGACCTGAGCCGAAGTCGGACGCTTAACCGACTGAGCCACCCAGGCGCCCCAAAATGGACATTTGAACAGACACTTCATCAAAAGAAATATATATAAAAGGATAGCAACAAAAATATGAGAAGATCTTCGACATTATTAGTTATTAAAATGATATTCAGGGACACCTAAGTGGCTCAGTCAGTTAAGCATCCAACTCTCGATTTTACCTCAGGTCAGGATCTCAGTTTTGTGAATTCAAGCCCTGTATTGGGCTCTGTGCTGACAGTGCAAAGCCTGCTTGGAATTCTCTGCCTCCCCCTCTCTCTCTGCTCCTCCTCACTCCCGCTCTCTCTCTCTCTCTCAAAAGTAAAATAAACATTTAAAAACACCAACAAAAAAAGGTATCTAAGAAAAAAATCCTTGGTCAGAAGGTATGTGCACATTCAACTGTCTTCAATAATGTTGAAGTGTTTATCAAAATAGTTCCACATTCTTGTCAAAACTTGGCATTATTTTTACTTTTTCTTATTTACTAATCTGATATGTATAAAATGGTCCTGCTATGCTTTTTACTTGATTTCTTGGATCACTATGTTTTCATACGTTTTACGGGCATACAGATCTCCCCAATTTTAATTTCTCTCTCCCCCTCTGTCAAACTTTTCCTCTTTCACCTTCCAGATGTGTACAGCCTATTTTCCTCGTGCCACTCCAAATCTGTCTCCATTCTGGTCTACCTTGCTCTGGGCTTATACAGGCTGATCTTTGTGGCCTACATCAAAGGGCTCCCTTGTCCTCTAGATTTTGGTGAGTTCAACCCATGGGAAACAAGAGCAGAAAATCAGATAGTGGAAGAAAAGTGATGTCGGGGTATTTACTCCCATCTCCCTGTGAAATGGGTCACACCTTACTACCGAAATACTCTTCTCTTCCACAACTACATTACTCTCTTCTTGTTCCAGTACCCACTCCCTCCTGTTTCTTACAATTTTCTTACAATGCTTATATAAGCATTTTCTCACTCTGAATACAGTCGTAAGTTCACAACCAAGAGGCACCAAAGCTAAGGACAAAACCAATACACTGAGAAGCCCAAAGCAGAAAGGCAGAAAGATACAAAGCATAGGTCCTTGACAATATTTCCCAACCTCTACGCCACATCTGGTGTCACCCACCTCTAAGACTTACATGAGATAACCAAATGTTTTCACTGCCTAAACCAATGCTATACTACTCAATGCTATCCACAGAGTATCATCATCATACCCTAGAGCTTGTTAGAAATGCATACTTTTAGGGCCTATCCTAGACCTTCTGAACCAAACTATCAGGGGATGGCACCCAAGAATGTATATTCAGAAGTCCTTTAAGTGATTCTATTTAGGCTAAAGCTTGAGAAGTACTGGGCACTGCTAGTTAGCTACTTCATTACATACAGACGAAATCACTCTTAACTGAAACATCAATATCAACAAGTTTTGTTTTGTTTTTAATTTTCTTTTTTGAGTGATCTCTACACCCAATGTGGGGCCTGAACTCACAACCCCGAGATCAAGACTCACATGCTCCACCGACTGAGCCAGCCAAGCGCCTCTGAACACACTATTTAAATATCTGAGTGAGTGAATGAGTGAGGAAGGGAGAGAGGGAAGGAAGAAAAGAAAACAAAAGAAAAGAGAGAAGGAAGGAAGGAAGGAAGGAAGGAAGGAAGGAAGGAAGGAAGGAAGGAAGGAAAGACAGAAAGAAAGAAAGAAAGAAAGAAAGAAAGAAAGAAAGAAAGAAAGAAAGAAAAAAGATAGATAGATACTTGAGCCTATTTACTACTTCAACATTTCTGTGCATATTCTGCAAGACATTATGGTAAAGCAACCAGCCTAGTGTCCACTATAGATATTTAACAAATGTTAGTTCCCTTACTCCTGAATCTTACTTTAAGCTTTCAAAGGATTATACAGGGATTGCTTGGTTTTAGGTTATTATCACTTTAGTAATAGTTATCCTTGTGCTATTTGGGCTACAAAATTAAAAAACAAATATAGCAGGGGTGCCCGGGTGGCTCAGTCAGTTAAGCATCCGACTTCGGCTCAGGTCATGATCTCACAGTTCATGAGTTAGAGCACCTCATCAGGCTCTGTGCAGTCAGCAAAGAGCCTGGAGACTGCTTCAGATTGTCTCTCCCTCTCTCTCTGCCCCTCCCATGCTCCTGCTCGGTCTCTCTCTCTCAAATAAAAACAAAAAAATTTAAAAAGCAAAAACAACAACAACAAAAAAAACAAATTTAGCAGAGAAAGAAAAAAGTCAACTTGCTCACTATTGTAGAGAAATGACATTCTTTGCTTTTGGTACCACAGATTTGGATTAAACATCTGAAAGTCTTTGAAACAAAGTATGAAAAAATTACACAACCAAAAAAAGTCAAGATAGCAGTTATCAAAAAGGGCTAAAACAAGGAAAACAAGGATGCAGCAGTACACAGTGTAACAATTTTTGTAATATTAACATAATGTTAAATATTCCCAACAATGATTATGGTTCTAAAATTTGGCCCTTATAATATCTGACACTAAGCAAAGCAAACTTCAAATATAACACAATTTTGCACATAGAAATGTACTCTATAATCTATACTAGAAGCTCTAATCCTGACATATGGTTATGGAGTCAAATTGTACCAAAAAAGGGGGGAGCAGGTACTTACCTCAAAATCACACTCTTCTCCCACAGCATATTTGGTCATGATCTCCAACCAAGCAGTATCTACTAACTTCTCTAGAGAGGCTGTGTTATGGTGAACCATTTCCAGAACAAGTTTCTCGTACCAGGCAGGGAACTCTTCCTTCAAACTAAACAAACACATTATTAGTTACCAAGAAAATGCAGAAAAACCTATCTAGAGAATTAATTCAAGTTAATTCAAACATTTCTTTAGCAAAGCTAAGTGAGGCACTGGGGAACACAAAGATTAAAACCATGTGGCACACAGGACAAAGAAGGAACTGGTAAAGAACTCTGTCAGATGGACCTATCCAGGTTAATTTTCTCATCTGGAAAATAAGAGTAACAGGCACATCATCAGTAAGGCTGAACATTTTCCCATTTGTTTTTATAGTAGACTTCCCTTTTCAGGTATGAATTATTTATTCATACCCTTTGCCCATTTTTTGTTAGAAGACTGTAACTTGAGTCTATTTGTGTTACACCTTCATCAAGAAAATGTTTCCCTATGCATTCATTCAGTTAGTACCCACAATGCCTCAGGAGGGGTGTAGAATTTTGATTTTATGAGTAAGGAAAATAAATCAGGAAGGACTGGAACCATGACTTGAACTCCAAAGCTCTTGCAAAAGTGAAACAATTAAGTGCTACTTTCTACTTATTAAACTCACGAACATGCCCAGTATAAGCAAGGAAAGAGTGCAATGTGCATTCATGCACAGCTGACAGCCTAGGTTTCTACTCTTTTGGAAAGCAGTTTGACAGTTATCAAAAGTGTCAACTTGGGGCGCCTGGGTGGCTCAGTCGGTTAAGCGTCCGACTTCAGCTTCATGATCTCACACTCCATGGGTTCGAGCCCCACGTCAGGACCTGTGCTAACAGCTCAGAGCCTGGAGCCTGCTTCAGATTCTGTGTCTCCCTCTCTCTCTGCCCCTCCCCTGCTCATGCTCTGTCTCTCTCACTCTCAAAAATGAATAAATGTTAAAAAAAATTTTTTTTAAAAAGTGTCAGCATGTGCACAAAGATGGTCATTGCTGGATTCTTCATGATAGCAGAAAATAGGAAGCAATCTAAATGGAAACTCATTAAGATCTCCAGTTCTGGGGGCGCCTGGGTGGCTCAGTCGATTGGGCGTCCGACTTCGGCTCAGGTCATGATCTCACGGTCCGTGAGTTCAAGCCCCGCGTCAGGCTCTGGGCTGACAGCTCAGAGCCTGGAGCCTGTTTCAGATTCTGTGTCTCCCTCTCTCTCTGACCCTCCCCCGTTCATGCTCTCTCTCTGTCTCAAAAATAAACAAACATTAAAAAAAAAAAAATTTAAGATCTCCAGTTCTGGCCAGTTCAATTAATATTTGTGTTGCAAGGCAAGGAAGGACCAGGCATGAGAACATTCGTACACATCCAAGTATCAGGCTTACTATCATCATATTCCCACTCTGTTCATAACTAAAAATGTTCCTCCAACTGACTGCTAGATTTAAAATCTCTTACCATACTGCCTTAAAATTTACCTGAGTTATATCTGCTTTTCCCCATTCCCATCAATAAGCTTCTAGTCTCCCTGCCTTTGTTAAGGCTTTTACCTTTGTCCTCTCCCCACCATCCTCCCTCCCAGCTTAATCATCCTCCAAAGATGTCCTCAGACTTCCTTAACTCCATGAGGCCTTTTCTGGCCCCTATAAATGCTTATTAATAAGCCTCCCAGTCACCAAGCTTTTTAAAACTTCATTGTCCACAGCTACTTCTGGGGAGTGAGGATGGACGATGATGTTCAGATTCTTTTACTAACTCTGTAGTGTTTACATATTAAACAAGTATGCATTACTTTTATAAACCAAAAAAAAAAAAAAAAAAAGATTTCTTCTTGAATAAAAATTGCATAATCATACTTTTTCAGTAATCCCTCTCATCATTCTCTACATTCTGTTCACTATCAAATCACATAAAACATTCCCCCATCTGTGTTCTTTAGAACTTCACTCTGCTGTAATGGCTTCTAAGATCAAGTAAGTTTGAGATCCACAAGGTTAAACCAAGCTACAGTTTCTTTACTGGAGGTCTTCTGAAAATCTTAAATACCCTAAGTATTATGACTTTTCAAGAAGTTTGTAGCAGTTTTCCAAAGTTATGGCCCAAAACCCTCTTTTCAGGAAGGATTACAGACTCCAACTCATTATTTCTATTCCCAATAATGCCATCACTCTCTACCTGAATACTATCCTAGCAAGCCCACATCAACTTCCCACCTGCTTTTCCTTCTTGAACTCTTCCTACACAGTTCCCAGATTAATCTCAAAGCCTAAACATCAATCACCAAAACCATCCCATGTTTCTCTCCTGTTCAAAAATTACTGCTGTCCTCCTATTGTTCACAGAATTAAATACGAATAGCTCATCTTGTCTTCCATAATCTGGTACAAACTATATTTCAAGTGTTACCTTCCTCATAGAGCCACATGAAGTTTTCCCTAACAATTCCAGGTTAGTCTCTACCCTCTAAATTCCCATTGCCTCTTTGTGTGGAGGAAAGCAATTTATTTATATTTTGAAACTGAATTCTCTTATTACTCCTAACAGCTTTTTATGGATTCTCTTTGGATTTTTCCCAAAGGGTAACAATAACTGATTTCCTCTTCAGTACTCTTCATACTCTTTGTTGTAGGTTAATGGTTACTATCTTTTATTTACATATAATTTTCACACACACAACTTTTTGTCTCAAAAAGATACCCAGAGAAGGCAACATTATCTCTATTTGCAAAAAGCAAACAGTAAGTGCTCATATAGTGCAGAGGATAGTGTCTCAGCACTGTAACCAATTCAAGAATAAGTCAAATATGAGACCTGCCCTCAAGAAGTCCACAAGCTAGGAAGGGGAAAAAAATACTTTCAAACAGAGACGGAGGCAAACCATAAGACACTCTTGAATACAGAGAACAAACTGCGGGTTGATGAGGGGCACAGGGGCAGGAAAAATGGTAATGGCACTGAGGAGGGCACTTGTGGGATGAGCACCGGATGTACGTGATGAATCATGGGAATCTACTCACAAAGCCAAGAGCACACTGTACACACTGTATGTTGGCTGACTTGACAATAAATTGTATTTAAAAAATAATAATAAATAAATAAAAAGATTTTCTTCTTAAAGTCCACAAGCTACTGTAGGGGTCAGCAAAAGCCCAAGGGCCAAATTCAGCCGACCACTGGTTTTTGTAAATAAAATTTTCTTTTATTTACAGCCATTCACATTCATTTACATTTTACCTATAGCTGTTTTCACTGTACAATGTCACAGACAAATAGCTGAGACAGAGACCCTAAAATATTTACTAAGTGACACTTTACAGATAAAGTTGCACAACTCCTGGTCTAGTACACTAAACAAGACACATATGTAATTAACACTAATCCAGGGATGCCTGAGTGACTCAGTCAGCAAAGCATCCAACTTTGGCTCAGGTCATAATCTCACAGTTCGTGGGTTCAAACCCCGCATCAGGCTCTGTGTGGACACCTCGGAGACTGGAGCCTGCTTTGGATTCTGTGTCTCCCTCTCTCTCTGCCCCTCCCCCTCTCGTACTCAGTCTCTCTTCTCTCTCTCTCAAAAATAAATAAACATTAAAAAACAAATTTTTTTTTAGGAGGGGCCTGGGTGGCTCAGTTAGTTAAGCAGCTGCATGACTGGGCTCAGGTCATGATCTCACTCACAGCTCTTGGGTTCGAGCCTCGCATTGGGCTCTCTGCTGTCAGCACAGAGCCCACTTCAGATAGATCCTTGGTCTCCCTCTCTCTCTCAAAAATAAACAAACATTTAAAAACAATTTCTTTTAAAGTAATAACACTAACCCAAAATGGAACAATGTAAGTGACCAAACAAAGAAGAAACAGGCACCAGATTAACAGACTCAACTAATTATTAGTCAGTGATGGAACCACTACTAGAACTAGGTCTTAACTGAACCTAGTGTCATTACACCAGCAAAAAAAAGCAGAACAGTATTAGATTACTAAACTGTATGCTCTCTGCTTATCTGCTACCAACAGAAGTCAATGAAAAGTCCACAGAAAAAGTTTCTATTCCCAATTCCCGAAAGAGTTCTGTTTTATTATCACCCCTAGTTTCCATGTATCTTTTGCAAGGTCCTACTGCCCAAATTCTGAGTGTTTTCTCTGAGAGAATACCCACATGAGTAGGCACTTTCAACATACACAAGTGTTTTAAGTTTACGTATTTATTTTGAGAGAGAGAGAGAAGAGAGAGCAGGGGCAGGGCAGAGAGAGAGGGAAATAGAATCCAGAGTAGGCTCTGTACTGTCAGTGCAGAGCCCAATGCAGGGCTTGAACTCACGAACCATGAAATCATGACCTGAACCAAAATCAGGAGTTGGATGCTTAACCGACTGACCCACTCAGGCACCGCAAACTGTGAATTTTTTTTTTGATAGCCACTGTAAAGACTATCCTAAATTTCAAATGACCACAAAATAAAGAAAATTTTCTAATTTGCTGCCCCTGTATTACTTCCAAGTTGTGTCAGCTTCCTTTGCTTAGAACATTTCCAGAATATTTACAAGGTAAAAGTATAGAGCAAGAACACTTAAAAGCCTGGTAAATACCCTAAATAAGTGTACATACAACGATATATTCCACATACTTTGTTACCAGCAAAATGCCACTAGGCAAAGGCACTCAGATACCAATACATTATACTAATGTATTCTAATGTACGCCCATAAATTTAAATACAAATATTGCTTTACTGTTAATATTCCCTCTTTCCCAATAATTTGAAGATGGTGCTAGAAGGGCAATGCTTCTATTACTTACAGTTCAGCAACTTCCTGTTCCTCCTCCCAGGCCTCCTTGTGTGTTAGCTGACTGCTTCCGGTACTCTTACAGGTCCAAATGCGCTCACTGTACCTTTCCAGGCGGGCCTCATACTCTCTGTTAGCAGTCGCTCAGGAAAATAATAATCAAGCAACTGAGAAAACTCATCCACATCCACAAATTACTTACACAGAAAAAAGTCTATAATATGGCAACCTTTCTATATTGTACAGCGTAAGGTAAAATTGAAATCACAGTTTTCAAGTGGCAAATCCAAACAAAATTATTAAAGCCAAAGTATGATTCAAATGGTTTGTCATGTTTTTGTTTTACAAATAAAATATTACTATTTTAGTACAAATGTGATTTATTCAATTCACCTGTTTCAGATTCCCACAGCACTAAAAATTTGTAAGACAAAGGAAAGGTAAATTAAACACAAGTTGTAAGGAATAAGAATGCAAGGTACGTGGAATTGTTACCTAACTTAGATGGTCAGCAAGTTTAAGATCTTCCACAGAAAGAGGAGAGGACTACCCCAGTCTCACAGGCAATTTGAATAGCCCTGTATACCAGCTAATGATCCACTTACTATAAGCTTCCAGCCTACTTCGGAAACACCTGTTGAGTTTAAAAAATAAATTCCATAAAGCCCTAAAAATAATTTCGATACCATATTTATCCAGCCTTTATGTTGCCTCCAATAATACTACACTCACAAGTCATTTACCAGACATTGTTCGGTCTTTGTAAGGCAGATGGAGGAAGAAAACATCCTACAAGTTAGTGCCATATAAATGGTAACTTTCCACATCGTCCCAACTGGAATTCACTATCAGCCAGACACATTCAAATTCAAATGACAAGTTAACTAATTTATTTTATGCACAGCAACAGATGCTACCCAAAAAAATAAACTGACACCACAACTAGAGAATTAGCTGCCAATCTCTGTACTTTCCAAGTGACACTTTTTATAGTAGTTGAAATAAAAGTATTTAAGCAGCTCCCTCTGTAATACTACCTCACAACTCAACAAGTAATTCATTTTAAATATACAGAGATTCTTTGAAATCAGTGCAAAGATAGATGACAGGGACAAATGCATAGATAACCCAAAATAGTAGTTTTAGCCAATAGTATGAGCACCTTCCCTTAGTGTAGCATTCTCTGGATCTGCCAAAAACAAAACAGTTTAAGTCTATTTTCCTCACCAGAGAGGTGATACTAATATTTAAATGATTAAACAAAACAGAGTACCAGAAAAAACCAGGAGTCAAGCTTCCATATAAAGCTATACAAATTCAATCTCACTGAAAATTTATAAAAATTTATAGAGAAAAAAGGAAATAGCATGACTTCCAAAGTGACATTATCATAACTAATCAATAAGATAAATTATTATGTTTGTCTGTTTGCACGGGGAGGGGGGAGGTGAATCATGACAGGAAGAATCAAGGGCGCCAGAGTGACTCAGTCAGTTAAGCGACTTGATTTCGGCTCAGTTGATTTCGGTTCTCACAGTTGATGAGTTTGAACCCCACATCGAGCTCTGCGTGGACTGCGGAGGCTGCTTGGGAGTCTGCCTCCGTCTCTCTCAAAATAAATAAAAATTAAATTTAAAAAAAAGAATCAGAAAGTGGATTTATTAAAGCATTTAAAGAGCTTGATAACATTCTAATAGATTATTTAGTTATACTGAAGAAATTCACTGTAATCAGAGAGAATGTGAGATAAAACAAATAGATCTTAAAGATTAAGTTTCTGTTATTAGCTGTTATTTTTAAAAGTAGGAGTCATGTGCCCAGTGATTCTCCTTTGATCTAGACCTATGCAGCCAACAACATACAACTCGGGTATCACCTAGATGCTCAAATCCAACTTTTTCTAAACTCTTCTTTTTACCCCCTTCCCTTCCCTCCCCTCCTAAACTTGCTCCTTAGCAATTATTCCCAATCTCTCTTAATGGCCCTTGTGTCCAAGTCAGAAATGAGGGAAGCATACTCAGCTCTTCAATCCCTAATTGCGACCACTTAGGTTTTTCTCAGTTCAGTCCTTCCTCTTCCACAACAGAGCCATTATTTAAATTCAGCCTCTGATCCTCCCTTCCCACCTAGCCATAACAGTTTTAAACATTTTAATTGACCTCACCGGTAATCCTCCTCAGGTCCTTTGTGCTTCTCACCCAAACATCCTTTTACTCAATCTTATTTGTTTTTAAACCCAGTTCTACAGCTTACTTTAAAATCTCATTTGCCCTCAGGCCCCTGAAATGCAAATACGTTCGCACTGGGAAGTAATCCTCTGGCTCCCACATTACTGAAAATCACTCCACCAATCAAGATTTTGTTGAGCTTTACTTAGTGGTTTTTATTCTTTTTTTTTTTTTTTTTAAGTTTATTTTTGAGAGAGAGACACAGAGCACGAGCAGGAGAGGGGCAGAGATAGAAGGAGACACAGAAACCAAAGCAGGCTCCAGGCTCCGAGCTGTCAGCACAGAGCCCAATGCGGGGCTCAAACCCACCAACCAACCTTAAGATCACGACCTGAGACGAAGTCGGTCGCTTAACCAACTGAGCCACCCAGGTATTCTTTTAAGAAGAAAAAAAGGGGGAAACTTTTTTTCTCAAATGATACATATTTAAATATTAAATTTTTTTGCTGACTATAGTTTTTCAAACAATACAAGACCCTTCTACCTGGATACATGGCTTTCCCACCATCCTTTGAAAATCACTATCAACATAACATTCTCATTCGCGGTGGCAGTATCAATGCCCATAACTTCAATTACTATCTACATGCTAATAATTTCTAGCACCCAAACTAAACTTCCTATCTTCACCCCCCATTCCCAGTCAAAACGAAAGGGAAAAAAACACCAGATCCTCTTCCAGCGTTCTCTATTATCAGAGAATGACCAACTACCCAAGTGATAACCAAAATACAATCCTTGATTCCTCCCCAATTACCAAATCCTGTCAAATCTACCAAATTGTTTCTGTAATCTATTGTACTTCTCAAGGGCTAGTACATTTGTTCAGATCACCATTACCTATTGCCTCGTTTATTTAGTAACTGTCTCACTAGTCTCAGGGCTACATTCTCAACACTGCAGCCACAGTGAGCTTTCAACCTAAAAGCCTGCTTCCATCCTGATTGAATTTTTTTTCAAAGTTTATTTACTTTAAGAGAGAGAGAGAGAGAAAGAGGGAGGGGGCAGAGAGAGGGAAAGAATTTCAAGCAGTGCAGAGCCTGATGCAGGACCTGATCCCATGAATCATCACGACCTGACACAAATCGAGTCAAAAGACAAGTCAAAAGATGCTCAACCAACTGAACCACCCAAGCGCCTCCTGCTCCAATTTTTGAACAGCCTCCAATATATTTAAGGCAGAATCCAAACTCCTCAGCCTATCTCCCAAGGACTTATATGGTCCAGCCCCTTTGTGTATCTCACCACTAAGCAACTCTATCTCAATTCCCATTTCTTCACTCTAGCTATATAAAACTTCTTTCCATTAAAATTTAAGAATCTTCGGGGCGCCTGGGTGGCGCAGTCGGTTAAGCGTCCGACTTCAGCCAGGTCACGATCTCGCGGTCCGTGAGTTCGAGCCCCGCGTCAGGCTCTGGGCTGATGGCTCAGAGCCTGGAGCCTGTTTCCGATTCTGTGTCTCCCTCTCTCTCTGCCCCTCCCCCGTTCATGCTCTGTCTCTCTCTGTCCCAAAAATAAATAAACATTGGAAAAAAAAAAAATTTAAAAAAAAAAAAAAATAAATAAAATAAAATTTAAGAATCTTCAAGTTCACAAACTCTTCTCTTCTTGATCTATCTACCCTAATCATACTCTAGATATGAACTTAAAAGTGACTTTCCCCTGAAACATTCCCTGAACCCTGAAGCATAGGAGACTGTATTATTTACAAATATTCACCTCCCTTCCATAAAAGGATTCTACATCTCCACCCTCTGCCCTGTGGCTTGCAATGCCTCCTATGGAGAGTAATGCCCATTCCCTCCCCACTGATGTTAGCCTCGGTCACATGCCTTGTTTTGACCAACAGATGAAAAACATGACAGATGCCACTTCCAAGAAACTCAAAAAGCCACCATAGTATCCTCCAGATCTTTCTGCCACCAGAGGGGAGCCTGGGTGGCTCAGTCAGTTGAGTACCCAACTCTTGATTCTCAGCTCACCATGATCCCAGAGTTGTGGAATTGAGCCATGTGCATCAGGCTCTGCACTGAGCAAGGAGCCTGCTTAAGTTTCTCTCTCTCTGGGGGTGCCTGGGTGGCTCAGTCGGTTAAGCTGGAAAACATTTAATTACTTGTGGCTCACATTATATTTCTATTGGACAGCACTGTCTACCTAAGATTCACATCTAGGAATGCATGCCCTCTGACAATACGTGAACAATTTAACTAGTAATCTACGATTAATTCCGAAAATCAAAAACTTAAAGTCCTACCACCCAACATAGGATACTTTTAAGTTTATGTAACTCTGCTCTGGTTGTTACTTTGTCTTATGTTAAGAGAAAGAGAAAAAAATTAAAAAGAAGAGAAAAAAGCCCATTAGAAGGATACTGAGTCAGCTGCCTCTAAATCCTATTTCAGATTTTAGGTTACCAAAATAAGTCACTTACTCTCAAATAACTACTCAGAGCAAATGCCAATTGAGGTTTTTATGTTCCAGCCACTGTTGCACATATAATTGCAGACAAAATGTCAAAGCAATTCTCCAAAGGTTGTGTAAGTTATAAATGACAAGATATTCTCAAATCCTATATATCTCATTATGCATCTACTTTTTCATGAGTTCAAGAGCTACCTCCTCACAATATGCTGCTTCATTGTTCTCTTTAGCCTTCTTTCAATAAAAGTACTTGATAGCCTGAAAGGAAGTGGCCCAGAAAAGTACGGAGGTTAAATAAGCATAACTATAACCCTAAGAGTTCTAAGTGAAATGACAAAGCACCAGCTCCAGATTTGCTTTTTATCCTATTTTCTGTCTCTGGAACAGTCTGTCATCAAGTTAAAAACAATTCTAATCTAGTTTAATTTCTCACTCTTAAGAAATTAAATTATAAAAACCAACCTAAGAAATCATTATTCCAACTGTCCAATAAAATCCTGGCTTGCAACTACAATTTAACTCCAGCTCTTACAACTTGGCTGTAGTCACTCTTGCCTAGAGCCTGATTAACTATGTTCTAATAGCCCCTCCTCATTATACCATCTAAAAGCTCTCATAGGGGCGTGTGGGTGACTCAGTCGGCTAAGCTTCTGACTTCAAGGGCTCAGGTCACGATCTCACAATTTGTGGGGCTCATAGGTTCTAGCATCCCCCCCCCCACAGACTCTGTGCTGACAGCCCAGAGCCTGTCTTCCTCTCTCTGCCCCTCCCCCATCACGCTGCCTCTTTGTCTCTCAAAAATAAGTAAACATTAAGAAAAGAAAAAAATAAAATAAAAGCTCTCATATATTAGTATTACAAGGTTATGAAGTAGATGTTCCCAAGCTTTACAAAGCAGGACAGTAAAGCAATACAACAAACATATTACCCTCAGCAGGCTGCTTGTAGCTTCAGTTTCTCCTTAAAACCCATCTTGACTTACTCACTGTATTATCCTATTGCCAGATAATAACATCAAGAACTGATTCTGATAATCTTTCCAAGGAAGATCTAGTGTATTGCCTTAGTATTAACCTAGGAAGTAACGTCTCATAGATTCAAACCTATAATACAAAAAACGTAATCATCAATATATAAAACCTAGTCATTAAACGTGTGCATCATTCACAACTACCACTGGAAGTTTAATGAAGAGGTACAATAAAGCCTTCAAGAACATACCATCACTTAAAGCTTTAAGTCAATAAAATGTTATACTGATTTGCTATTGCATATACATGCAATCAAACGGCAGGTATTAGGAGAAAATTAAAGATCAAATCCTATTAAAAACATAATTGTAAATATTAAGAACTGGAAACAGTATACTTTAAATGCAGCTGTTAACCAACCACATACCTGTTCTCTACGAAATCACTAAAAGCCTAATAAAGAAATAGACCAACCTGCCAACCACACAGCACAATTGTTTAAAACCATCCTCAAAGAGCTTCCACTTGTAGAAATTCCCCTGCAAGCAATTTCCCCCTCAACATGCAATGCAATGTAAGGACTCCTTTGTTAAAGGGGTTGGTTCTACATACTGGTATAGGAAATACTTAAAATGAAGAATTTTTAAAAATACCTAACATATAAAAGGTGCAGGTTTCAATTTTCAATTGTCATCATTAAGAGAAATTCCTCATATATATCATTACATTTCACCTATTTCTGTAAACGATATGAAAAAGCCTGTACTGCCAATTCTAAAAAATTAGCTCTCTTTTAGCCATTTTTCACATGGCTCAACACCTATCACAGACTTGGAACTTGTCTCTATTGAGTGTGTCTTATGCTACACTCCAAGCAGACATAAAAATAAACATCTGGTAATACTAGTGTGTGAGTATCCACCAACTGCTCAAAAAATGATATCTGAATAACATTTGAAAAGGATATGGCAGATTCCCACAGTAATTTTTTTTAACCCCACTGATGGGGCTCAATATTTTTTTTACAAAGTAGGACACCTTTAGAATAATGATGGATTTAGCAGTTGGAGTACTTCTCCAAAGCTTCCCAAAAGTCCTTACAGGACAAGAAAAAGAACCAGATTATCATGGAATCCCTCCCTAAAATGCACCTTATCTCATACCACTGACAGAGGTTGACTAACATGAAAAACCAAGCATTCCACCTTCTTTTCTGGATTTGCTTACAAGGATAAGGTAGAAAGGCACTGCATTCTACTCCTAACTCTCATCATCATTTCAGAGTGTTTGACCTTTAACAAGTCCACCAACCCTCTGGGTTCACTTGGCAAATGAGGCTAGAGAATCCAACCATCCCCAAGATCCATTTCAGCTACAAGATGCTCTAGCTATATTTCTCCAAGAGCTTTCCTACAGCACAGGCTCACTTTCCAGGCCCCTTTGTATGTAAACACCCTACATCCACAAACTGCACTGGAACAAGAAACGGGCTATCCTGTAAAAGATCGTATTATATCAAAGAGAGGATCAAAATGAAGTGAAATCAAATGATATCATCGCTCACATGGACACTTCCTCCCATACAGAAGCAAGCAAGCAAACAGAAACTAAGAAATCAAATCCTTCCAAAGGAAAAGAGCCGATAAAACTCAATATATTTAGCCTTCACTGCTGAAGAAAGCGTTGAAGAAAGCAAGCAAGCAAGCAAACAGAAACTAAGAAATCAAGTCCTTCCAAAAGGAAGGGCTGATGAAACTCAATGTATTTAGCCTTCACTCCTAAAGAAAGCGTTGATTCAGAAATCTACTCCTTTTTTACACTTGTGCTTCCAAAAGGACTCATCTGGCATCCATAAAAAAAAGTAAATAACAGTCGTACAACTAGAAGACTTCAAAGCTTACACAAGAAACCTTAAACAATGATTAGAAAAGAGGATGCGTCTTATTTAAAACATCAGCCTCCTGTTCCTAAAATACAACATAAAACCGTTAAGTAGGTCTTGGTATTTTTTATATGTTCATTTAAAGGCAGATACCGATCTCCTCCTAAATCGTCAACATTTCAAACCTGTGCATGCCGGGGAAGGCAGGCATCATCTCCTCCAAGATAACTTTTTCTTCCCCTTCCCCGGTCTGGAATTCGTTCTGGGGTATGTGCCTCACGATCCTGTCAGCTCACGACCAGCCTGAAGTCCACTCGGGAGGAGAAAAACCCAAGCGCCCCCGCGGAGATGGGGGAAAAAACGCACAAAAAAAAATCTTGCACAAGCCGGATCACGAGGCCGCGTGGGTACAATTTCAAAAACTTCAAGAGAAAGGTTTAATTTAAAAAGGAAAAGCAGCCAAGGAACCCCGTCTCCCGTTCGTACTTAGGGCCTAATGCCACCCGGGGGAAAGGGGGGGCCGCTCCTCGAAAACGAGGCCCGGGGACAAAGTGCGGAGCCGGGAAAGGATGGAGGGCACGGGGCCCCGGGCCGGCCCGCGCCCCCGCCC